ACCCCCCCCCCCCCCAAAACAAAACAAAAACCGCTTTCTGTCTGATCGATGTGAGTCTTTCCTCTGTGAGTCATCTAGGACCAACCACCTTCTTCTTCTTAATCTGTTCTCTGACCACTGGGTATAAAACACAGAAACCGATTCAAAGTCAGTTGGCTGGAGTATAAAGACATCTCTCACTAATGGAAGAGCCAGTTGATTTGATGAATTATGCAGGAGATTCATTATCCTCATCAAATGTGATGCGGCGAATATTAACACGGCAATTCTGTTTACGCTGATAATAAATCATTCACACTAATATCATAATATGTACTTGTAATTACAAAGGGTAATTCTCAGTGTCGTGTATGTGTGTGTGCGGCTGAAGGAAAGTGCTGAATTTGCAGTAACATGACTATCTGGAGCACAATGCGGGCGACAGGAGAATATGAGATGAGGGGCTCTCTAATTAAACAACATTCATTAATGGTGCATGTTGCCCTGTCACCTTCTTTAATGATTCCGCTGTTTTATGACAGCTGTCTCAGAGGTTTCTGATTTATGTAGACTACGATTGTATGTACATTCTGGAGAACAGAAGATTAAGAGATTAAACTGAGTGTAAATTTATTTGTTAGGAAACGTGATGTGAAAGCTCAAGTGATGGACAGTTAGATGTGAGAACCTGTTTTACTTGTTTTTGTGATGTGGGCCAACAACATTACATGTAACTGAAGATGAGCTCTTCTTTCAATGTAGATACAATTTCAGAAGTGAAAGCACAGACCTCTTTTTACTGTTAAATCCTTATTTTGAGTGGAATCACTAAATTTGCAACAGCTTATCTTGCAGACATCTGTCAATCATCAGTCATGCATAGTGAACATGAAAACTTGCTGATAGCACATGTATGTTGCCAAGGCATTGTGTTCTGTTTTGCACAAACATCTAGCAAACACTGATAAAAAAAAGAATGTCCATGAAGAAAGAAAAGGTATTAGGTTTTTAGAAATGCATTCAAAATATATGCAAATTTTGTTTCAAGTTTCATGTGGATTGAAAAGCATTTATACCATTTTGAAGAAAAGTTTATACTGTATTTTTGTGGATATGTGGTGTTAAAAAGTAATTTGCATTTGCCTTACACCCTGAATACATGTGAATGCTCACTGAATCTTACTCATTAAATCATTTACATTTGAAATATATTTTTCAAGGTAAAAAAACAAAAAAACCCCCAATACTTTTTTATTAAAATATCATGAATTATTAGTTCATATTTTTGGGAAGTTGCACCACATGACATGCTACAACTTGAACTAACTTTGCATTGTCATAAACCGGTCAAATGATCTGATTTATTATAGGAAACATGAACCTTTTTCCTGCATTTTTTTTGTGCAAGACAAATTTTATGCAAACTTTTGTCAATGTATGTATGAATTGTATTATTCATTTAAATAAATTAATACTAATTCATTTTTATTAAATAAATTAAAAACAGCAATATGTCACCGACCCACATTTACCTACATTCTAAATGTTAAAGGAACAGTTCACTCAAAAGTAAAAGCTCAGTTAATTATTTATTTATCCTCATTTATCCAACATATGCTGTTGAAACAGACGTAAAACACAGTAAAAGCATTTTTAGGTGAACTATTCCTTTAAACATCAAAAATAGTCAAATGTCCAACTGACTTATGAAATGGGATATGTAACAATGTATTGCTAATCAGAAGAGTTTAACACACAGAATATACATCTTGGTGACAAACAAACAAACAAACTATTTTAGGGACCAGTTCTCACTATTAACTAGTTGGTTATTAGCATGCATAGTACTAGCATAGTTGTTTATTAGTACTTATAAAGCACATATTAATGCCTTTTTCTGCATTACCATATTTTACTGTAGATCCCATACCTAAACTTAACAACTACCTTAACTAACTATTAATAAACAGCAAATTAGGAGTTTATTGAGGGAAAACTCTTAGTTAATAGCAAATATCTATTTCCTAATCTAAAGTTACTAGATTTTTTAATGTCACATGAACCATGATAAATTAATTCAGGTTCATTCAAATTAATTCTGCATTTTTTATAAACAGAAAGTCCAAAAGAACAGCATTTATTTGAGAAATACTTAACTGTCACTTTTGATCAAATTAAAGCATCTTTGCTGAATAAAAGTCTTAATTTCTTGAAAAGAAAAAGCCTTGGTAGTGTACATGTGCTCACTGGGACATTCAGATCTGACCTGAGCAGGGGTCTGCAGAGAAACCCACTTCTTAAACAAAGCATTGTGTGCAGACTGTTCTCAGATTAGCTAATAATCACCTCTGTTTTTCTGCTCGACGCAGAGCTGTCTCTCCAGCGTCTCTCGCAGCTCTCTCTCTCTGTACAGCTCCATCTTCAGCTCTGTGCGCTCCAGCTGGACCTGCTTCTCTTGTGCCCGTGCATTATCGATAGCCACCTTTAACAGACCCTGGAAAAGAGGAAATGGGCATCCGATTTGCAGTGTGAATCTTTATGCTAAATATTTTGAAATATTTTATATACCTGTATATTGGTGAGAAGGGTTTCTATGGAGGACAGGCCTTCAGGAAAGAGCAGTGGAGCAGGGAATCCTGGCGGTAATGTTGGCCCAGAATGAGACACTCGCTCATAGCTGTCTCGAGATGTCGGTGTACACAAGACATTTTCTTCTGTCATAATAAAAGAACAGCACATTAATAACCTTTAAATAACTTTAAAAAAAATTTAAATAATTGCATAACTAATCACAAATTTGGGGTTAGTAAGATTTCTGGCAACATTATAGTATAGGAACCAATTCTCAGTACTAACTAGTTGCTTATTAGCATGCCTATTATTAACATATTGGCTGTTTATTAGTACTTCTAAAGCACATATTCTGCATAAACATATTCTACATCCCTAATCCTACCCAATACCTAAATTTAACCACTACCTTACTAACTATTAATAAGCAGCCACTTTAGGAGTTTATTGAGAAAACAGTCATAGTTAATGGCTTGTTAATTGCAACCAAATACACAAAATAATGTTCTTTTTAGCAGCATCATATGACCCCTTTAAGACATTCTATGACTGTAACATATTACTGGTGACTCAAGAGCAGCACTGTGTCTGGATGTGTGCACTCAGAAAACCGTATATCAGAAGCGCTCCAGCTGGACCTGCTTCTCTTGTGCCCGTGCATTATCGATAGCCACCTTTAACAGACCCTGGAAAAGAGGAAATGGGCATCCGATTTGCAGTGTGAATCTTTATGCTAAATATTTTGAAATATTTTATATACCTGTATATTGGTGAGAAGGGTTTCTATGGAGGACAGGCCTTCAGGAAAGAGCAGTGGAGCAGGGAATCCTGGCGGTAATGTTGGCCCAGAATGAGACACTCGCTCATAGCTGTCTCGAGATGTCGGTGTACACAAGACATTTTCTTCTGTCATAATAAAAGAACAGCACATTAATAACCTTTAAATAACTTTAAAAAAAATTTAAATAATTGCATAACTAATCACAAATTTGGGGTTAGTAAGATTTCTGGCAACATTATAGTATAGGAACCAATTCTCAGTACTAACTAGTTGCTTATTAGCATGCCTATTATTAACATATTGGCTGTTTATTAGTACTTCTAAAGCACATATTCTGCATAAACATATTCTACATCCCTAATCCTACCCAATACCTAAATTTAACCACTACCTTACTAACTATTAATAAGCAGCCACTTTAGGAGTTTATTGAGAAAACAGTCATAGTTAATGGCTTGTTAATTGCAAGAATTGGACCTTAAAGGTGACATATCATGAAAATCTGACTTTTCCAGGTTTTAAGTGCTATAATCAGGTTCGCAGTGCATCTACCAACCAAGGAAACGAGAAAAAGATTAACCCAGTAACTTTGTTTTGGGAAGCCTTTTTCTGCAAGAGTCTGAGAAAACGAGTGCGTCTGATTTCGCTCCTTTGGTGACGTGGCAAAGGGATGTCATTATAATATTACCGCCTCTTAATCTGTAAGTTTCCACCCACAGCAAGGTTATTGTGTTTTCGCAAGCGACAACGGTGTACCAGCAAAATAAGCATTTTCAAAATGATATAATAAATGAACTGTGGAGTATTTTGAGCTGAAACTTCACAGACACATTCTGGGGACACCAGAGACTTATATTACATATTGTAAAAAGAGGCATAATATGTCTCCTTTAAAATAAAGTGTGACCCGATTTTTTTAATACTTTCCATTTTAATACTTTTATTCAGCGAGGACGCAATTAATTGATCATTACATATATTTCTATTCTATATAAATGCTGTTCTTTTGAACTTTCTATTTATCAAATAATCTTGAAAAACTGTTTCCACAAAATATGAAGCAGCACAACAGTTTTCAACATTGACAACAATAATAATAAATGTTTCTTGAGCAGCAAATCAACATATTAGAACTCAGCTTTGCATCACAAGAATTAACTACATTTTAAAATATATTACAATATACAACAGTCATTTTTAAATTGGAATAATATTTCACAATTTTACCTTTTTTCTGTATTTTTAAATGCAGCTTTGCGTGAAAACTTTTTTATTCACAAATATTCACATATGTGTGGATATTTTGGAAAACACATTCTCCATATTTCAAGTATGTTTTTAGTTCTTCTCTGAAATCACACTGATTCTCCACATCCTCAGTCTTTTATCCACGAGTCTTGAGAGCAGAACGCTAGCATCATAATGATTCAAGGTCATTACACATCAATGCTACTTTTTTTCTAGTGCACTCCGTGAATATTTCTTTCTTTAAATTTCAGTCCATTCAGCTGTGGAGAATCAGCAATGTCTTCAGTTAAATCAATTTACTTTCAATGAGCCACTACACACTGGTTCTGGTTCATTTTTGTGGTCTCAGAGGAAATAAATCTGGTTTAACATCCTCCCACTACGTAATGGCTCTAAATCTGTTCTCAGCTTTTGGGCATAGAGGAGAAACAATAATGTACAGTATGTGGAAAATAATGTGTTTTTTTTTTACTTTAAACCGCATAAACACATTTCATTACAAGAAAAACCTGAGAGCACTGACCAAAGCACTTCAAGCACAGGAAGAGGCTGCAGATCCATTGTTTTTGATCAGGCTGAAGCCTTGATCTTGTCATTGTCACTCACTTCAAAGAGTTTGCTAATGTATGGGTCCTCCTGCTACTATCCTAGTCTCGATCGGGCGATTTAATCTTACTTCTCCTCTCATCTCTGCCACTTTACCAATATGATCTTAATCTTTAATTAGCCTCTTGGTTTAATCTTTATGAATCACACATCATTTCATATTTTAATTTTTGATTTTTATCTTAATTTGGTGGAAAATTACAGTCTGATATTCAGTACTAAATCAATTATATGCACATTGCTGTATTATTTCCGTCAGTGTATTTAAGAACACAAACAGGCAACCATGGCTGTTTTTACTAACTCTGCCTATCAATGCTAAAAAAAAGAATAATAATTTTTTACTTCAGTAAAAATAGCATATGCTATTTATGTATTATCAGTTAAAAGTTTGAGGTCAGTGGGATTCTCAGTAAGAAGTCTCTTATGCACATGAAGGTTGCATTAATTTGATTAAAAATACAGTAAAAACAGTAATATTGTTAAACGTTATTACAATTTAAAATAACTATTTCCTATTGCAATATATTTTTAAACACACTTTATTTCAACACGATCCTTCAGAAATCATTCTAATATGCTGATTAATATTTAATAGCTTAATATTTTTGTGGAAACCATGATATTTAATTTTTTTCATGATTCTTTGATAAAATGTTTTAAAAAAGCATTGATTTGAATTTATGGTACAAAGTAAAAGCATTTACTGTCACTTTTGATCAGTTGATCCTTGATGAATAAAAATGATTAATTTCTTTAAACATTGTAGAGTATTTGCACTTTATCTAAACAAGATGCTATTTGTTGCTATTTATACCTGATGTGGACAGTATTTACCACTGTTTTTTTTTTTTTACTTACACTATTTACACATTTTTACACCTACTATAAATAGCTGCTATTTATGACATTTGAAATCATGACAAGTTGACAGCAGAATTCTGTTTAATTAACAAATAATGGACTGTAATTCTTTATCAATTCACACCACAGATGCAGACCAACAGTGACAGCACAACACTTTTGTAGTATAAATTATATTTTTGACCTAAATTAAATGAGTTAATTTAGATGTCATTTTAAGGTAACCATTTTTTTTAAATTGCAGCAATACTTACCAATGTAAATATACAAGCTGGCCAAGATTTAGTTTTTTTATACCTACACCTATGTAGGGTTTCTCCAGCAAAAGAAATGAAAAATATTAGACGATTTCTTTAGCCTAGGGCTCCACTATTGCACCTATCAAAGCTGTTTTAATACATTTGCACAGTGAGACCAGATGGACTCTGTTCGTTTTGTAAGGCTGTATTAAAGCATGGGGTTTACGCAGGTATCCACAGTTCTGTAGTGGTAATAACCAGCCCTGTGTATGCTAATAAAAAATGTCAGCAGGGAAGCCAGAGAAAGGTGACTTTCTGTTCTAACACAGCTGATCTATTAGCATAATACTGTACTGCCATATGGCGTTGGCATTACAATTATATACTGTAGGGTAGGGCATGCAAGTTCAAAATGATTGAACCGCTATAACAAGTCTGCAAATAACTTCAAAATCATTAGGGTTGTTAAACTACATCCGGAGATTGACTACATATAGACAACTGGACATTTTCCACTGCAATGATAAAAGTTTCTGTTTAATACATTTGTTATTGTGTGATGTAAGTGTTAAAATTCAGGTTGAAAGGTTGATGGTTTGACAGGAAGCAAGGCATTTTCTCGCCATTGTTCCCTTTAGCAAAGCACTTAACTGCAGGTTTCTCCAGAGGGATTGTCCCTTTAATTATTTCACTGCACCATTTATGGCATTATAAAGTAAACTGACTGTATGAGCCTGATTATGTTACAGTAAATAGCAATTCCATTATTCTTTCTCCAAAACAGCATTTCAGAAGCATAATATGACACCTTTTTAAAAGATTTAATCTGTTGTTTAATTAATTGGTTTTCATCAAAAATGCATTTTGTTCAGCATGCTTTCAATTGCATTAATGCAAAACACAAAATCACAGAGTATCCTTTTCACAAAGACAAAATAAGTTTAATCTATGTAAACATTTCATTCCCAGAAAGTATAATGAATTATTGTTGCAGTATAAGCAATGTAAACAGAAAGAGAGAGAGAGAACATAAAGCATAGAGTAAGATAGCGTACAAGAGAGATGAAACTATCAATAAATATGCGTCCGTCAGATAGATCAGAGACGCATCCAAAGGAGGAACACAGATGGCATCAAATACAGAATTTTACATTACAGTATGCCATGTGGGACTGTAAACAGAGGCCATGGTAGAGACTGGCAAATTACTGTGAGTCACCCTGAAAGGGTGTATAGACTCATATGATACAGTGACAACATTTACTCTATTGGCAGTAAACTCTGTTTTAGCATGAAACCTCATGGCAGTGTCATATCATATCTTTTGATGAAACTATGGATTTTATGTCAGTTACATAAGTTAGGTTTTAAAAGATTGACTAGCTGTGTTACAAGTGTGATCAGTTTGGATTCTTGCAAGAGTTTTGAAAATGTACATATTTCATGTGAAAACTGCACCAAAACGAATAAAATAACTTAATGATATGTTCACATTTTAGTTCAATTGTGGCCATGATTAAACTAAATTAAAACGATTGAAACAAATTAGCACAATGTGGCCACAATTGAACTAAATTAATAAATAGCCTTAAGAACAAATGATTCATTTATGGCCATTATGTTTTCCCTGCATGTCATGTGTTTTGAGGTGAAGAACAATTTAAACTTTGGTCTGTTCCCTACTCAAAGTTATTGTTTGGATTCCAAAGACTCAATGCATACAAAAAAGTTCAGAAATTTGGAGTCTGTAAGATTTATTTAAATGTTTTTGAAAGAGGTCTCTTCTGCTCACCAAGGCTGCATTTAAAAATGAAAAATACAGTAATATTGTGAAATATTTTTATAATTTAAAAACAGTTTTCTATTTAAACATATCGTAAAATGTACTTTATTCCTGTGATGCAAAGCTTTTTTTTTTTTTCTTCATGTTTTAAGCTCAGTCCACATTCTTTTGTAAAATTTCTTCATATGTGTTCCATTGAAGACAGTACGTCACAAGTTTGTCTACACAACCAGTCTGTAGATGATGTCACAGGTAAACTGAGCAGCCTTATTGAAGTTTATACATCTTTCCCAGTCTTTCAGTCAGTCTATTGTTCTGTCTGTATCTATTTCTTTCTGTACATCCCATTTCCTTATATACATCCTCATCATTTAACCCCAAGCATCTCTTGTATTTTTGTTCTTGAATGTCCTTCGCTTTAAAAAATGCATTAGCCCAGCTCTTTGCCCATACTGTATTTAAAGTATATATAAACCTCAGGATCCATTTAAACAAGTAGGTGCTCAAAATCTCACCTTCCCTTGTGCCTGATAAGGTCTGATTAGATTTACTCACCCCTCCCTTATCTCTGCGGATTCACTTAGCTGACCAAAGCATCTTAATCTCACACTATCTGATCTTCACATCTTGGCAGAAGAGAGATGCCTCTGTCACATTCAAGGTGTTTCAAAGAGGAAAACAATCGGTCTCCCACTTTGGCCGGCTCTCGCTCACCGTCGACTGCCGATCTCCCTCCCTCTCCTCTAGGGTTCCTAAAAGCATGGTGTCTGCTGGAATGTGATTAGTGTTGGCCGCCGGAGCACTCAGCGGGAGGAAGCTTGCGCCGTGCCGCTGAACTACGGTGCCCCGGAGGGACAATCAGTGCTGAGTTAGCACTACTCTCTTTTCTCTTCTCCATCTCTCCCTGTGCCTTCAAATCTGATTGATCCTCCATTGAATTATTAGGGTGTGTGCACTTGCTTTCCAGCAAAAAATACTGGCAGCCTGTTAGATCATAAGTGTATCTCCTCAACCAAGGTCACTTTTTTCCCCTCTTGTTTTGGATTCCCTGGGCTAATGGACTTCTGTGTCCACCGCTAAAGCCCTCCACAGTCAGCATAAGAGAGCGAGCGGAGAATGAATGAAGGTTGAAAAGCTCCAAGGCGGATAAAGGACTCGTCTTTGAACTTTTCAGACTTTGACAAGCCATAAAGAAGAGATACAACTTCTGATCTTCACACTTTCAGCGCTGCCCCCAAAGATTAATTCCAGGAACATGAAGGTGGAAGTTATCCTTCAGTCTAGTAACAGGTAAAGGAGTCCTGGCAGTGACTGAGAGTCTAGAATGATGTTCTACAAAGGGAGAGCCATTGACTTTTGAAGTTTCGTAAAATCAGCATGCATAAAATTCGAGACGAAACTTCACAAGGGGCTAACTTCAAAATCAAAACTATAGTTAAAGGACAGGACATAGTTTTTATCACGGTGAGCTTAGCTGTTCGAATTTATGCAGCCTTTTGTGAAATGTATTTTTGAACAAAAATAAAGAATATCGTGTTCAAGAAGCATTTGGCTTTGGATTTCCACACTCGAATTTGACATCATGATGCCATTTCTATGTAGTCCATTCACCTAATAACAAGAGCAAACCATCATTATGCTTCCAGACTGAACCTAATGTGTTAATGTGGTAAAGAGTTTTGCTGGTTAGCATAGCCCCATTAGCCTCTGCTGGTTGATGCCAAAACTAAACCATTTGGTTCTAAAAATGCATCTTTCGGCATTGACAGACTTTCTGAAGTAGCCGTGAATTCAGACTAAACAAACGTCGTGCATCATTCAATCGACTGCCACTGGCATGAATTCAAATGAGTAGTGTTTATTTTATTCTTTGCTTTAGTCATAGTCTTGACATTTGACAAAAATATCCTTTTTATTCTTCAAAAAATATTGTAAATGCATATTGCCGTTATTTATATTTTACTGTTTTTATATTATCATTATCAGTATATTTTAATTACAATAACTCAGTTATAGCATCATGATTTGCATTTATCCTTAACAAATATATATATAAAAAATACCATTATCTTCAGTAATTTTGTTGATGAGATTAACACTAATGTGTGTATTTCACCAGAAATACTGTACACTACGGTTCAAAACTTTGGGGGTCAGAAGATTTTTTCATGTTTTTAAAAGAACTATCTTTTGCTTACCAAGCCTGAATTTTATTTGATCAAAAATACAGTAATATTGTGAGATATTATTACACTTTAAAATAACTGTCATCTATGTGAATATATTTTAAATGTACTGTAATTTATTCCTGGAATGCAAAGCTGAATTTTCAGCATAATTACGCCAGTCTTCAGTGTAACATGATCCTTCAGAAATCTTTCTAATATGCTGTTTTGGTACTTTCCAGGATTCTTTGATGAACAGAAAGTTTAAAGGAACAGTATTTATTTGAAATAGAAATCTTTTGTAACATTATGTATTGACTCCAAACTTTGAACAGTAGTGTATATAAACCTCCCTGGTCATCATCTACATCACCACATTTGATGTAGTGGCATCAGTGGTAAAAATCCTTTTAAATTTGAAAAATCTGATGCAGGGTTTTAGCACCTGTGTGAGCTCCATGATTTCGCCAAATCCCGAAAGGCTGTGCTCAGGCCCCCCCTTGCACTGTCTACTCTCCACGGCACAATGAGGAAATTGTGCTGACTACTCATCCTTGCAAAGTCCTTTCACGCTCTGCAAATCGCTAACTAATTTAGCCCCACTACCATGCCATTTCGACTTCTATGGATAATTTTCAAAGAACTGTGAGTGAGAGTATTCATTGATTTCTCAGAATATGCATGCACATCAAGACTGATGTATGAATAGAAATGAAATATACTGAGTATTAGGTGACACATCAGCGGAATCAGCAATCACTTCCTGCAGTCAATCTAAACCACTGCTGATAAATGATCTGCTAAGCTAAAGGAAAAATATTAGACACAATTTTAAATCTGTTTGGGAAAAATGCTTGCGTTTTCCATGACGTTTTTTTTTTTTCCTGTTATGTAATTCTAAACGTGATTTTATAACATAGAAGAACAGTAAAAGTGCAGTCACTGCTAAATGTTTTGACCTTGTTGAACTGTAATGTAATGAGCTTCTGAAATAAGCACTTTTGTACTGTTTAAACGGTCATAATCTGGGTTGTTCCCCAGTCTCAGACTAAAGGAACCTAAGTAATTATTTTCCAATGCATACAATCTGTATAATCAGTAAAATATGATAAAACAGCCATGTTTTATTATGACAAAAGATAATGTTTGTAAACTTTGACATCTCATGATGCTATTTAATAAAAGTAATAACAGATTATTCAATAGGATATATTTAGAATGATATAATAGGATATATTTAGAAGTAGAATGGCGTTCCCTTGCAAATTCTATTCAACACAGAATGCAATATTACTGGCATCTAACCTTTTTCTGTAGAAGCCCTCTTTGTTACATGGCCTGTGTCATGGGTTGCCAGATCCCCCTCTTTTGGTCCTGGTGGTGCACTTGGAGACAGGCCTAACAAGGCGTGGCCAAGAGAAAGACCATTCTGATGTAAATCTAAAGGGAAAGGAGGGGCATATAAACAGATTTTACAAACAAAAGACTGACCAGTGAAGCCCAATGTTCCATTGTACTGTAGTAGGTATAACATTTGTTCTATACAGCTTTGAATTTACTGTATATGTTTTTGTGAAAATGTACATTACCATTTAAAAGTTTTTATTTTTTTATTTTATTCAGCAAGGATGCATTACATTAATCAACAGTGAGAGAAAATACTTTTATAATGTTATAAAAGATTTCCACAAAAATATGAAGTAGTTTTTAACATAAGGAACGTTTCTTGAGCAGCAAATCAGCATATTACAATGATTTCTGAAGGATCATGAGACACTGAAGACTGGAGTAATGGCTGCTGAAAATTCAGCTTTGCATCATAAACTACAATATATTAAAATACAGTAGAAAACATTTAGTTTAAATTAGAATAATATTTCACAATAGTATTGTTTTCAATACTAATCATGATCAAATAAATAGAGCCTTGCCATGCATATAACTTCTTTCAAAAATATAAAAAAATCATACCGATCCCAAACTTTTGAATGGTAGTGTGTGATGTTTTAATTCAATAATGAAAGGCTCACTCATATCTTGTACTGAAAAAGCTTTAAAAACTCTTAACAAAATAAAAGTAGATAATATTATCTCAAAAAGCCTAAAAAAAGATTACAAGATTTGAACTTAAGTTTGGTCAAAAATAGGATTTAAAACACATACTGCTTCCAAATTATATCATACCACTGACATCCGATATCTTGGGTAAGATTTATAATGTGTCTGATAATAGACTGAAAAAAGTAGAGAGCATTATCTGTAATTGCATAGTTTTAGTTCCGGTTAAAGCAAAGCACATGAACTGCTCTGATGGCTTTGCTTTTAGTAGATTCTGTGATATCACCTTATTCTTAATTCTAAAAGCACATTTGTAAGGTTATATGTGTAGCTTCACATTATCGTGAGAGCATAGTGCTAAGTGCTCAGGGATCAAACTCTGCTGAAATAGTAAGTTTGGTTTAAGCCATGAGAGGATACAGACAGAAATGAAAATGTAGAAGTATACATATTATTACAGCGAACATGACTCCAATGACAACTAAAATCTTGAAGTTATATGCAACGTAGACTTTGTAATAAGACATTGAGGAATAAAACAAAAGACAAGACTTTTATTAGTCAAACAGACGTACGTGGCCGGTCAGAAGAGCTCTCTGTGAGTGCAGGAGAGCTGGACACGCTGCTGCTCTGTCTGGAGGATAAGTGGCTCCCTGACCTGCGGCCATCATCCAAAGAGGGGACAGGTGACGGGCTGTCTGGAACTCGCTCCTGATAGTGAACACAAACATTAGTCATTATAATCTGTCATATATTTTAGATAAAACTGTAATAAATTCTAAATAATTGCAGAAGAACTTTCTCTGCTGTGAAATTTAAATACTGTTCTAAATAGTACACTATGTGAAGAAGAAATATGTGTCCCTGGACCACAAAACCAGTTTTAAAGGGTTAGCTCACCCAAAAATGAAAAGTAGCCCATAAATTACTCACCCTCAAGTCATCCTAGGTGTATATGACTTTCTTCTTTCAGACAAATCCAGTCGGAGTTATGTTAAAAATTGTCTTTGATTTTTCAAGCTGTTTCATGGCACTCAGCGAGTGTTGCATGCATCAGTCCAAAATCAGTTAAATAAAATGCGCCCATCCATAAAAAAAAAGTGTCTCACACGGCTCCGGGGGGTGAACAAAGGCCTTCTGTAGCGAATCTATGAGTTTTTGTAAGAAAAATATCCATATTCAAAACGTAATAATCACTTTAATGTAGCTTGCGCTCACTGTTGTACACTGGAAGCAGTTCTGGGCGGATGACCTCTGAGGTCAGCGTTGCGCATGCGCCGGTGAGTCTCGTGAAAACCAACGTTTGTTAACAGGAGCAAAGGAAGCAGTTTCCTTACTTTAGCAAAGGAAAACCAGTCTCCTCTTGGCTTATATCGAAATCCTCCGACATTCTTCTTTACAAATCCTCGTTTTGTACTTCTAATTAGTGACCATTGTTTTGTTTTGATCTCTCCCCTGCGCTTCCGCGCGCGTCACTTCTGAGCGGCGTATGCGCAAAGCCGACCTCCATACGTCATTACTCCGCAACTGCTTCCAGTGTACAACAGTGAGTGCAAGCTACATTCAAGTGATTATTACATTTTGAATATGGATATTTTTCTTAAAAAATAGCATCGATTCGCTACAGAAGGCCTTTGTTCACCCCCCCAGAGCCGTGTGAGACACTTTTTTTTAATGGATGGGCACATTTTAATTAAGTGCTTTTGGACTGATGCATGCAACACCCGCTGAGTGCCATGAAACAGCTTGAAAGATCAAAGACCATTTTTAATATAACTACGACTGGATTCGTCTGAAAGAAGAAAGTCATATACACCTAGGATGACTTGAGGGTGAGTAATTTATGGGCTACTTTTCATTTTTGGGTGAACTACCCCTTTAAGTCGCTGGGGAATATTTGTAGCAATAGCCAAAAATACATTGTATGGGTCAAAATTATAGATTTTTCTTTTATGCCAAAAATCATTAGGATATTAAGTAAAGATCATGTTCCATGAAGATATTTAGTAAATTTTCTACCGTAAATATATCAAAATTTAATTTTTGAGTAGTAATATGCATTGCTAAGGACTTCATTTGGACAATTTTAAAGGCAATTTTCTCAATATTTTGTTTTTTTGCACCCTCAGATTCCAGATATTCAAATAGTTGTATCTATTTATCTATCTATCTATTTATCTATCTAAACCATACATCAATGGAAAGCTTATTTATTCAGATTTCAGATAATGTATAAATCTCAATTTTGAAAAATTGACACTCAAGACTGGTTTTGTGGTCCAGGGTCACATATAAGGAATACTTCACTCAAAACATGAACAGATCTGGGTAACATTTTACATGAAGGTTCCATTTGTTAACATTAGTTAACTACATTAGTTAACATAA